AAGGTCAATAATGAAGTAGAACATCTCTTCATCTTTGTTCTTCAGCTTCGTATCCTTTTACCCATTTTCAGTTGGGAGCTTTGCCCTTCACATGTCGAGTTCTGAGGGTTCTCTCTAGTCCACGCGCCAATTCTTGTAGGTTAGCTCCAGGATGCTGTGACTCAGCTCAGCAAATAACTTAACGGGGATGATTCGGCCTTGTTCATAGTTTCAGAGGTCTTAGTCCATCACAGCAAGGGCAGTGTGGCAGAGTAGGAGAGTTCACATCCTGCCAGCAGGAGGGAAGGAAAGAGGGAGCAAGGCAGAGAGAAGAGACACAGAGAGAGAGAACAAGACAGAGAGGAAGCACAGAGAGAGAGATCGAGACAGAGGAGACAGAAAGAGAGAGAGACAGTGTGTGAGAGAGAAAGAATGCTGGAGACTCTGCCTCCTTCCCCTCGTCTAGGCACCCTGCCTGTGGTTCTGCAAGTCTTCCCTGCTTGGTCAGTGCTCTGGAAATGCCCTCACAGACAGCTTTACCGGCTGCCTTGGCACTCCTCAATCCATCACAGTCAAGATTACCCATCACTCCACACTGCAGTTACTGGCACAATTGGCCACCCTAGCGTTTTACAGGGCCTGGGGACCCAGGCTCCGGTCCTCTGGCTTGCACAGGAAGTGCTCTTACCCTCAGGCCATCTCCTTGGCCCTGAAATCTTGTTTTTGCTTACCCAATCCCTGCTAAGATAGCAACAGAAACTTCGTTTAAACTTAGAAATCACTTCGGAGAAAACAGACTTTTAACATACTGAGCCTACCAATGGGTGAACACAGTTAAGTTCCTTCATGTTTTTCAAGCCTTATTTGATTTTTCATGAGCATTTTGCAGTTTTCAGCACACACATCCTGTATGTAGCTAATATTCCATTTTGGGGGAATAATTATAAAAGGTATTGTTTTAAATTTCAGTTTCTGCATACTGAGTATTAACAAACAGAAATGTACTTGAGTCTTCTGTGTCTTGTATCCTACTACCTTGCTGGACCTATTTATTAGACATAAGAACTTTCCAGTATGTTTCTTATAATTTTTCCCTGTGGATAATGGTATCATAAACATAAGCCACCATTAAAATTTTTCTAGTAAGTTTTATATCGTGATCATAAATGGATTGACTAGTATCAACTATCACAGGAGGATGAAATTCTAAGAATTAAAATAATTTAATTCTTGTTTTTGTTTTTGTTTTTTGAGATGGGGTTTCTCGGTGGAACGGCCCTGGCTGTCTGGAACTGTAGACCAGGCTGGCCTTGAACTCACAGAGATCCACCTGCCTCTGCCTCCTTAGTGCTGGGATTAAAGATGTATGCCCCTACCACCTGGCCAAAATTTTTAATTTTAGCTAAAGCGGTGTTATTTTTCAGAAGGCTACTGCTCTTTCTCTCTCGGTCTCTCTGTCTCTGTTTCTCTGCCTCTTTGTGTCCGTGTCTCTGTCTCTTCAGTCTCTCTTCTTTTTCTTCTTCAAAGGGAGAAAGCAAATATAAAGATATGTGTTCAAGCCAGGCCTAGTGGCTCCTGCTTATAATCTCAGCTACTCAGGAAGGGGAGCCAGGAGAATAATGAGTGCAAGGCCTGCCTTAGCTACAGAGTGAGTTCAAAGCTAATTCAGTCAATTTAGAGAGGCTCACAGTTTGTTTAGCCTTCAGCAGGCCTAGCACGCACATGCTCTAAATTCAATCTCTAGTTCCACTAAAACAGATAAATAAAAGGTGTTTTTAAGACTTGATGGAAGGATGAAGAGCTGGCTCACCGGGGAGAGCACACTCCCATATCAAATCTGGAAGCCCGGCCTGCACACACCTGTCATGACAGGCCAGCCTGTCTGTAAGCCCAGCACTTGAGCGGTGAGGAGGCCTACCAAGGGCAGGCCAGCTCACTCTGCCAGCGGAACTGGCCCAGCAAACAGCCCGATTCAGTGTGTAAAGTCCAGGAAAACACCCGCCATCAACTTCTCACCTCCGCATGCACTCGCACACATGTAAACAAGTATACACATATGTATGACGTGTATACACACCACAGACACTAGCAAAAAACAAACAAACACCTTACTGGCCTGAGGCTTCCACAGAACATTCTCTAGGCCATAAAACAACCTCAGGAAACTCACCCAGAGCTGGCAAGGTGACTTTCTTGGTAAAGATGCTTGCCACCACGTCTGACGACCTGAGTTCGATCCCCAGGACCCATGTGGGGGACCCAATCACCAGAAATTGCCTCTGACCTCTACAAGCATGCCACAGCAGGCAGATTCATCAATTTCTTTTTAAGAAATAAAAATAAACTCGAGTTTCTCACCGACCTAGGCAGAGGTTTGAATGAGAACTACAAAGGTTATCTATCCCACACTTCAAACACCTATGGCATCCGGAAAAGCTGGATTCGGACCTCACTGAGACCAAAGAAACGAAGCAGAGAGGCTGGTGTGCCAGCTGGGATGGGAGGCCCCGAGGCTCCCACATCCTGTGGGGAGAACTGGTTGTGAGTGAATTTCTAGTTGACAGTGAGATGGCTGGGTCGTTGGGCAGCTCATCTTAGCTGGGCATGTACAGCGCAGGGCACCCATCAGAATGTCTGCCCAGAACACCCCTGAGCCCACGCTGGCACTGAGAGGCGGCAGCGATCCTGCTTGATCTGCAGACTATGCCGATCTGAATCTGTCCCTCATCAGGAGCCGACCCCCTCCTCATCTTGTATTGGTCACGTCTCTTCTGTGGACCATGAGCCCCTTGTCAGACGTGGGGAACTAGAAACACAGAGATGGCCTGGCAGCTCTGTGCTTCTGCACAGACCAATCGGAACATCAGGTGGGTTAACACCTTCTCATCCCTCTGTTTCCTAAAATTAATCTCAGTTACATTTCAGCTCCTTGTAGCAAACAGCGTCCTAGCCCATTCAGCTTGAACTCGATTTCTGCTTCAATTCCAGTCTGTCAGAGCGCAGGTGCACTCGCACTTGGGGACTTTCTCTGTCGAAGCTCCTCCTTCCCAGCAGGAGGTGTCCGATGAAGGCGCCTCTTTCAGCAAGGCTGGCTGTGCCCACCTACCACCCAACGCAGGAAACACCAGCCAAAAGGCTGCCTCAGGATTACAATAAAGAAGGATTATATCTGAACCAAGTTTGGAGATTTTAAAGACTTGTCCAGACGCCAGAAAAACAAGCGATTAGGTGGAGTTTTCACAGGCGCAATGTGATACAGCGTGTTTGGAAACACAGTGAAGCATGAGTGATTTTCCAAATGCCACTTTAAGGACGTTTGCGAGATCCATTTTCAATGCTTATTTGATTTAGGTTTAATCATATTGAGATATCAAAATCAGAAGCATGCTGTAGCTGTCTTTATGAAAACCAATGATGGGAATTTTCAATGCTTATTTAATTTGGTTTAATCATATTTAGATATCAAAACCAGAAGCATGCTGTAGCTGTCTTTATGAAAACCGACTATGGGAATTCCTGAGAGTTCAGAGCCAAGGGACTAGAGGCAAAAACAAGTTTGCAACAATAGAGCCTCATTAGGGATTTGCCTTCCCAGGGCTTAAGTTACACACAATCAATTAAATCCAAACGTATCAGATGGAAAATTCCAGAAATAAACAATTCATTACATTTTAAGCAGCATGCATATATTATATTATTACAATCTGTTCTATTTTATTAGATGCTGATCTTACCGTTCACTACTATGCCTGATGCATGAAATTGCATAGAAAGAAAAACATCATAGCGTACATAGGGTACGGTGTAATCTATGGTTTCAGATATCTGCTGTAGAGTGGAGTGGGATCCGTCACAGGACAGCGGGACTAACGCAGAACTTTCTGCGGGAGCGTTTCAAAATCGGCCAGCTTAGCAGGCTAGATAAAGTCATCAAGCCTCTATCGCACCTCTACTTGCTACGGTTTGATTCCGGGCTTTAAGTGGGTTCCTCAAGGCTCAGAGCTAGAAGCATGGTGGAAGAATGGAGGTCACGGTGGGGACTACCCTCAGAAAGGATCAGTGTAGCACTTCACATAGTTCCTGCAGGAAAGGGTTATTGTGGGCTGGGGGGATGGCTCAGTGGTTAAGAGCGCTGGCCGTTCTCACAGAGGTCCTGAGTTCAATTCCCAGCAACCACATGGTGCCTCTCAAGCAGCTATAATGACATCTGGTGCCCTCCTCTGGCGTGCAGGCAAACATGCAGGCAGAATACTATATACATAACAAATAAATAAATGTTTTTAAAGATGGGTTGTTGTAAAAAGAGAGGCACTGGCCAAGTGATCGATTCTACAGATAATCTCCATCTCCCTTCTACTTCTCCACCATGCTGTACTATAACGCAGTCACCAGTGCTCCAATATTGAAACTCTAGGCAAAACGCAACGAACTTCTTTTCTTTACAAAAACCCAGCGTGGGTGTTCCGATCAAACAGTTAGAAAAAGGACTAAGACATAGGGTCAAGGAAGTCCCATAAGCCATTGCCAGTGTGATTAACATGTATCACACCCAGATATTGTATCAGAATAACAACGTTTTACAGACTGGACCACATCCTTAGCTTCAAATCTTAAACATGTGGGAAATATCAAGGCTCCTCATGTGCACTTGCCCATGAAAGTATTGCTTAAATTATATTGGTTGTAATGTTAATAAGAAGAAAAAGGTAAAACAATCCAGTGTGACAATATAGAGCTATACATGCAGTTGTGCTGGACATAGGGATTTGGTTTCACAGTCATCATTGCAGGAGCCATCAGGTTTACATCGTCTCCTGTAATTCCACTCTGGTAGAATACTACCACACTGACTAACACGAGTGAGGGGCCAACAGTTAAACCAGTATACAGAAAGCACAGACATAAGCAAAGGCGTAATTCTATTTTAGTCAGGGACATTTGGGGTGAGAGATGTGAAACACACGTGTGCGCGCGCGCGCACACACACACACACACACACACATATCTGAAATGTGCCTTACCTAATATCTGAGAGGTCACATTTGTTCCCAGCAATCGCCATCACAATGTTTTCGGGGCCGTGCTCTTTCAGCTCCTTAACCCATTTTTTCAAGGTATGAAATGACTCCTAACCAGAAAATAAGATGCATCAGTGAAAAGACCTGTCGATACATCTCACACAAGTAAAGATTTGCACCCTGTGTAATTCAACGAGAAAAAAATGTCTATGGGGACACTTAGCTAACATTAGTTAAGATGCCTCTTTCAAAGTTTGAGGAAGTTAAAGATCACATTAGTAGGCTTCTTCTGTAAATACCATGACTGGAAATAACAGCCTCTACTCTGCAGGAACCAGGGTATCAGGAGCAAGTGGACACTGGTGCTCACTTCGGGAGAAAAATGCTTGCTTAGGTCCTGCTCGCCCTTCACTCCTAACCTTCCTCTAGGGCGGAGGCCAGCGTGGTGGAAGTGGTCAGAACTCATGGGCTATAACAGCAATGAATCAGCTAACAGTCAACATTCCAGAGGGATTGGGGGGCAGAATAGATGCCATCAAATCAATGAATATACCTCAAAATACATTCCTGTTAATCTGATCTGCAGGAGACACATTCCAAGTTTCTGAGTGGACATCTGAAACTGGCTTGGAAACCAACCCAGAAACAATGTGCCTCTGTCCCCTGAGGGCCTATGCACAGGTTAAGCAAACAGGCAGAGTAAGATACTAACAGTAACAAAGCAGAATAATCACGATTAAACAACACGTTATTTTAAATGTTTGACTTGTTTCTGGAATGTTAATAGTTTTGGATAGTTGACCTTGGATAACTGGGACTACAGAAAATCAAAGCACAGATAAGTGGGATGTCTGCCTACAAGCACAGACATTTATTTACCTTTTATATACAAAAATATTATCTCTGACCTTTGAATGGTGCGACAGAACCACTAACAGAAAATAACCTATAATGATAAAATATGCAGAACTTAAAATAATCTCAAGGAGAGTGCTAACAGGGGTAGAGAGACAGCGCAGCAGTTGAAAACGCTTGTTGCTCTTCTGAGACCAGAGTTTGGTTCCCAGCACCCACCTGGTGACTCCAGTTCCAAAGGATCCAACGCCCTCCTCTGACGTCTGTGGGAACCAGGCACACAGAGTGTACAATATACATGCAGGCAAAACATCCATACACACAGAATAAAATAAACAGATGTAAAAAATAAAAAGCTTTAAAATGAATGCTTGGGTTGAAGAGATGGCTCAGAGGTTAAGAGCACTGGCTGCTCTTCCAAAGGTCCTGAGTTCAATTCCCAGCAACCACAGGGTGGCTCATAACCATCTATTATGAGGTCTGGTGCCCTCTTCTGGTGTGCAGGCAGAATAAATAATAAATAAATAAATCTTAAAAAAAAATAAAACATGAAATAAGTGCTTATTGCTTTTGTCAATGAGAAGACAAATCAAAGCTGCCTTGTGAGTCAAACACACTGGACACACAGCTTTCACTGTGCTTGCCCACGGCCCCCCACACTGCCAAGGGGCCCAGGGTGCTGGCTCACTTGTGGGACAGCCGCCACACGTGGCATCTGGAGTGGGAAGACATTCTTACCTGTTTAGTGATGTCATACACTATGACAGCCGCGGCTGACCCTCGATAGTACATGGGGGCCAGCGAGTGGAACTGTTAAAGAGCAAGCGACAGTTTTAGGCCACAGGGAACAAACAGATTTTAAACAATCCCAAGCCACACGTTAAAATTTTATGTTGTGCCATCCCCGAAGGAGCTAGTCTAAATTCCTCCGGACTTCCCCAGGACTTGCATTAAATAATAAATTTCACTCCCCAACCAAACACATACTTGTGGTCTATGGACCATGAAATCTCCTCTTGGCCAAAGCCAGATACGGATCATATCTTAAATGTCGCCGTCCTCTGAATTTTCTTTTCTCTATTGACCTAGGACAGTCTCGTTAGATTTTGCAGTGGTAAGGGAAAGGTATATTCCTATGAAAGGTGAGGACACCCGACCCTTGCAGGGCCACTGGGAAGGAGCAGGCCCCGTGCCCTAAGACGCAGCTGGCTGCTAGCTCTGTCAGGCTCACTGCCCACACCAAGGTCAGCCGGCAGTGGCTCCTTAGATGAGCTTCGTCCTCCACACTGGAAATGTTCAGTATCACTGCCTTCTGGAATCTCTTGTCCTCAAATAAGATGGATTATTCTCTGGATGTACACATTACATGAATGTTTTGAAGGAGGGGCTAGTTTTAATTTATTTTTTTTTTTAATTCAAAAACAGTTCTTGGGAAGGGCTAGTAAGTGAAAGAGAGTTCAACGGGGAAATGGAGAAATGATTATATAAGGAACTACTACAAGTTACCAGTAAATATTTAATACTTAATTAACAAAGAGGATGAACTAAAAATGATGAGCTACTTATTAATTTAATAAGCATTAAGAGGCTTTCGGCTCCGTGTTGGGTCTAAGGAGGGAGACGCTCTCATCTCCCACGTGGGGATGGCAATCAGTGCTTCCCCACAAAGCCACTGGGAAAGATGCATCAGCGCTAACATGTGCATACCCTCTGACCCCGAAGTCCATTTCCAGGAAATAGATCTAGCGTGACCACCGGGCACAGGAAGACATTCCCCTATGTGGTAATGGAGGTAAAGAGATCGAAAGGCATGCATGCTCCTCGTAGCACCGCGCGTGTCCTGGACTGTCCACACAGCTCCTGCTCGTCAATGCGCTGACATTTACCAGTGAAGATCATGGGATGTCAGGGGGAAGTCATGGGTCATGGGGTTGGATGAGGTCATGAAGGTGGGGTCTCATGGTGGGATTAGTCTTACATTACTCCTCCATATACAGTATGTGAGGAGACAGAAAGAAGGAGGTTGTCTGAGAACCAGGAACAGGGCCTTCACAAGACATTAAATCCGCCAGTACCGCAATCTACCTCAAAACAGGGAGAAAGAAAAGTCTGCTTTTTAAACCACCTGCTCTGCAGCACTCTGTTGTAGCTGAGGCTGACTGAAGCCTACGTGTGGGGGGGAATGTTCCACAACCATTGAAATGAAGAGAATTTTTATTTTAAAGAAAAACATCCTTTTGACAAGGCATTAAGTGAAAGGTGTCTAAAGGCAGTAGAGATGAGAGAACTTAGCGTAAAAAAGTGGACACCAATGAACAAGCGAATACTAGGTCGTCCTCAAAATGTTAGAGGTAGGATTTCCAATCATTTTTACATGTAAAAGGCTGTGCCATAAAAATTTCACGATAATCTTAAGTGAGATGATTTCAGGTTGAATTAAAAATCAAAGCCGGTGGGATGGCTCAGCGGTCAAGGGCACTTGCCACCATGCCTGAAGACCTGCCTTTAATCCCAGGAACCACAGGGTAGAAGGAGAGAGTCAAATCCTACAAGCTGTCCTTCTGACTAGTATTTGTGTGGTGGGGCTTGGCTACATGCTACTTTTATTAGGACAGAAAGAGGAGAGAGGGAAGAGCGGAAAGATGGAAGATGTAGTTTTTCTGGCAAACAGCAAAACTGTTCTCCATCTTTCTATTTCCCGCATGGCACTTTTCATCAGGATGCTCAAGAGGACCAAGCGTGGAGCCAGGACGCCGCCTTGGAAGGAGGACCACCCAGGACTTTGGTGGTTTTTCAGCAAGGTGCGCGAGGGAGAGCCGGGCTTACGGCTGAACTGAGATGCGCCCCTCTTTCCTCTGCCCACAAGCACCACTCCAGTCTCACAGCACAAGGCGCCACCCACGCCCTCTCACCGGCACAGAGCTCCCCCGTGTCTGCCATAACCCAAGGATTCTCCTCCAGCCCACCCTTGGCAACGCACTTCCCGCAAATCAAAACCAGTCAGGATTTCTGTTCAGGGGCGGAAGAGCAAGGCCTGGCTCTGCTGAAGGTGGACGGCATAGAAAGCTGCCTCCCAGCCAACCTGTTTCCAAAACAACCTCCGCTCAACAGTACAAACCTCACTTCCCAGAAGTCAGACCCCGACTTCCCTTTGGGCTCTGACGCCAAAAGCTGCCTCTCAAAAGAGCCAATAGCTTGCGGGTCTCATGAATTATTGAAAAGCCTCAGTAAGCAATGCATTAAATGTTCCTCCCTTCTCCACAGAGGAATCGCTCTGAAATAAATCTGTCGGTGAAGCCACTTAAAGGACTTTACTGCTGGAGACTCGGGGGTTTTAGTAATTAGAAGTTAACGTCTCAATAAAGCATCGATCAAAGGGTAATACTTGCGAAGGACAAAGAGATAAGTCATTTCCAGCTTACAATCCATATCCGTTATCCCATACAAGTAGGACACGAGGGCACACACTCAGCCACAGACTGGTGTGATAGAATTTCCAAGAGGTCAGAATTAATATCGATGGGAATAACACAGAAGATTCTCCCAGAAATAAAGGTCACTATTGCAGGAGGTTGATAAAAGCTTTCTTGATCAAAACCTCATTTTGAAAGGCTATTTTAAAATCAACACAGCAGACGCCAATTCGAGCTCTTCACAAAGTACCCAACAAAATATATAGACTTAAAATTTCAGTGTTCAGATAATTCCCTCTTAGGAGCCCACAGAAAATTCTGGAAAGCCAATTTATCTCTTCAAAGACAAATTGCACAGATGGTTACCTATGTTCTTTGGGCATGTGACTTTTTTAAAGATTTCATTTTTATTCTTTGCGTGTGTGTGTGTGTGTGTGTGTGTGTGTGTGTGTGTGTGTATGTACTCCCTCATACGAACACTGGACCACTTTTCACTGCTGAGCTATCTCACTGGCCCTGACTATTTGTTTTTTTTATGGTCATCTATATCATAAGAGAGAAAGGAAGGACCTTCAAGCATGTTGAACTCGGGCTTCTCAGCTTTTGTGGATGAATGACATAGTCAGCTTTCCATCGCTCTAAAAAGGTACCTGAGATAATCAATTCAGAGACAGGGTTATTTTATCTCAGAGTTTTGGGTTGGTCAGGTTTAGCCTGGAGTGAGGAGCAGGAGCAAGACCACTCCACTTAATGAGGAGTCATAGAACAAGGGAAGTGGAAGTTAGCAGGACTCCACAAAGTCCCTTCAATGGCATCACCCAATGACAAAAAGACCTCCTAAAGTCCCCCCCCCCCACCTTCCAAGAGCTCCACTGTGAGGATAAAACATTTAACACACGGGCCTTCAAGATTCAAGCTCTAGGGAGATATGATCTTTCTGGAAAGCAACTAGTCACTGCATTTCTTTTTATCTTTTTTTTTTTTCAACATAATATTTTTATTGATCATTTGGGAATTTCATACAATGCACCCCAATCATACTTACTTCCCATTCCTCCAAGGTCTACCATCCTACCCTGTGCCCTCCCCCAATAAGAAACTTAAAAAAGAAGAAGAGAGAAAAAAAAAAAACCACACAGGAATATATGTGATGCCCATATATTCTTTGAACATGGTTAAACACCCAGTGGCCAGTCCCTTGAAGGACACTGAGTCTATCCCCACCCTGCCAGAAGCCATCAGCTGTGGAGAGCTGCACTTTAGCATCTTTATCTTTTCAAGGACTCTCTTCAATAGCTTCCTGTCTGGACTGTTTCTTTGGACGGGGAGGGGAAAGAGGTTGTCACAGAAGCCTTCAATGTCTCTCATTCTGGAGTATGAGTCTGCGGTCACAGATACTACTGCAAAAGAAGCTTTCTTGCCTGTAACAGCCAAAGTCAGCACAGATCACAGACATCATCAGCATGGCCCCTGAATGCAGCACGGAACATGTGGGTCTTTTGAGGAAGTCCAATCTGCCTAGACCACCCTAGACATCATGTGGTTGCTCAGAACCAGAGCTCCAGGCTGCTGCATACCACCGCATCCTCCCTACTCGGCAACAAGGTAGACACTATTTCTAAAGCCTTACAAATGTCCAGGGTCTTTGATATGATCCCACCTCTTAGCGTAATAATGACGACAGTCACAAAAACCACCAGAACTCTTTCCAGTTACGCTGACTCAAACACAGTCTCAATGTCTAATCATTAGGGAATAGAGACCTAGATTTTGGTTTAGTCCTACAAGATACGGGACTATAACTAAATTCAAGGTCTTAAAAAATAGCAAATGGTACAGGTACAATCGGCCATGGTGTTATCTGAAGGAATGTGAAGAACAAATAGCCACAAGGTGCTGTTTGGGGGAAAAGGTTTCCTGATAAAATAAATTTGAGGGACACTACACATTCCCAGAGGCTGAGGAAGTATTACCAGTCCACCAAAAATTACAAATACTTCTGGAGGAAGGAAATCTATTTATTTTGGTTTTAACTTAAAAAAAAAAAATCCTATCATTTTAAAACCCTTTTCTACTATTTGTTAGCTAATAGGAAACTATTGTTAAAATAATGGACCTGAGAACAACAGGAAGAGAACAGAACTCCTGAGGCCTGGCCTGGTTTGGTCTTGGTTTTCATATTTTTTTAAAATGGCAATGGAGGTAAGGATAGTGTTAGAACTGGCAGCTAAGGGCACAATGGTACACTCCTGTAACTCCAGCACTGGGGGAGGCAGAGGCAGGTGGATCTCAGTGAGTTTGAGGTCAGCCTGGTCTACAAATCAAGTCCAGGACAGCCAAGGCTACACAGAGAAACCCTGTCTCGAAATACCCCTCCCCCCCCCCCAAAAAAAGAAG